TCCTGCAACTTTAAGTAACAGTTTTAACTGGTTTTTTTTAGTTGCCTCACTAGGGTTCTCTTGGTAAACCATCATATCATCTGCAAAAAGGGATAATTTTGTTTCCTCATTGCATTTTTTTTCCTTTCAAATTCTTTTTCTTACCTTATTGCTGTATCTAGTACAATATTAAATAGTAAAGGTGGTAATGGACATTTTTCCTTCACACTGATCTTATTGGAAAGGATTTAGCTTATCCCATTACAGATCATCCTTGCTCTTGGTTTTACTAAATAATACTTATCGTTTTAAGGAAGATTCCATTTATTCCTGTGCTTTCTAGTGTTTTTAACAAGAATGGGTGTTATATTTTGTCAAAAGCTTTTTCTGCATCTGTTGAAATCATATAAATTTTGTTGTTTTTGTTATTGATATAGTCAGTTATGTTCATATTTTTCCTAATAGTTGACCCAGCTAAGTTCCTGGTATAAATCCAGCCTGGTCACAGTATATGATCTTTATGATATATTTCTGTAATGTTCTTTCCAGTATTTAAGTTTTTTGGTTGATATTCATTATTGATCTATAGTTTTCTCTCTCAGGGAGAGCTGACTCTCCTTGGTTTGGGTATCAAGACAATAATATTTGTGTCATAGAAGGAATTTGGTAAGACTTTCTTTACCTATTTTTTCAAACAGTTTATGTAGTATTAGAATTATTACTCTTTAAATATTTGGTAGAATTTGCTCATAAATTTTATCTAGTCCTGGAGTTTTTTTCTTAGGGAGATTATTTATAGCTTGTTCAGTTTCTTTTTCTAAGATAGGGTTATTTAAGTGTTCTATTTCCTGTTCTGTTAACCAGGATTACTTATATTTGTAAATACTACTTTCATTTAGATTGTCAGTCTTATTTTTGGCACATAGTTGGGCAAAATACTTCCTAATTATTACTTTTATTTCATCTTTATTGGTTGTGAATTCACTTTTTTAATTTTTTTTTTTTTTGGATACTAGTAGTTTGGTTTTCTTTCTTTTTTAAAAAAAATTAAATTAAATCAAAACAATAATTAGGAGCTATTTTGCCCAACTGTATGACAATAAATTTGACAATCTTAGTGAAGTGGATGAATATTTACAAAAATATAAATTGCCCAGATTAACAGAAGAGGAATTAAAATACTTAACTCCATTTCAGAAAAAGAAATTGAATAAGCCATTAATGTTGAAAAAAGTGAATGTTGAAAACTAAAAATTAAAAAATTAATTATAAAAAAATTAAATTAGCCAAGGGTTTATCTATTTAATTGCTTTCTTTAAAGCTTATAGTTTTATTTATTAGTTTAGTGGGGTTTTTTGTTTCAATTTTGTTCATCTTTCCTTGATTCAGGATTTCAGTTTTGGTGGGGAGGGATTCAGTTTAATTGGGAAGGGATTAATTTGTTGATTTTCTGTTTTTTTACTTGAATGCCTAATTATTTATTCTGTTTTTTTCTCTCTTTTATTGATGCAAGCATTTCAAGATATACATTTTCCACTAAAGTACTGCATTGGCTGCATCCTAAAAATTTTGTTATGTCATTGTTATCATTATCTTTAATGAAATTATTGATCATTTCTATGATTTGTTTTTTGATGCATCTGTTTTTGTTTTGTTTTGGGCTAGGCAATGGGGTTAAGTGACTTGCCCAAGGTCACACAGCTAGTAAGTGTCAAATGTCTGAGGCTGGATTTGAACCCAGGTCCTCCTGACTCCAGGACCAGTACTCTATCTGCTGTACCACCTAGCTGCCCCTTCCATCTGTTATTTAGCGTACATTCTTTTGTTCCAACTCCTTCTCTATTTGTGTATCTTTCTGTTTCAAGCATATTTCTTGTAAATAATGTATTGTTGGATTCGGTTTCTAATCCATTCTTCTATACTCGTCCATTTTATGGGTGAGTTCATCCCATTCACATTCACAGTTATGATCAATAAATGTATATTTTGCTCCACCCTATTCTTTTATACTTACCCTCTTCTTTTTGACCGTCTTCCCTCTTCAAGAGTCTTTTGCTTCTGACCATTCCCTCCCTTGATCTACCCTCTCTCTCATTCTTCCATCCCCCTCATCTTTCTCTTAACCTCTTTTTCTCCTGCTTCCCTTTGGGTAAGATGAATTTCTGTATCTAATTGTGTGCATGTGTGTATGTGTATTCTTCCCTCCTTCAACCAGTTCAGATGAAAATAAGGTTCAAGTGTTGCCTGTTCCCCTCTTCTCTGTCCCGTCCATTGTATAAATTCTTCCTGGTGCACCTCATGTATATGAGATAACATTCCCCATTTTTTCTTTCCTTCCCCACCCTTCCATTCTTTTCAGGTCATCACAACAGAATAGAATCACACCCAGGTCGCTACCTAATTAGACCCCCTTCTAAGGCCCCTGGCAATCATAAAATTCTGAAGGGGTTACATTTATCATTTTGCCACACAAGGGATGTAGACAGTTTACCTTTGTTTAGTGCCTTGTGCTTTTTCACCTGTGTTTACCTTATTATGCTTCCTCTTGAGTTTTGTGTTTGAATGTCAGATTTTCTATTCCACTCTCATCTTTTCATCAGGAATGCTTGAAAGTTCTCTGTTCCATGAAGTATCCATATTCCCTTATAGAAATATGCTCAGTTTTGCTGGGTAGTTTATTCTTGGCTCTAATCCTAGATCTTTTGCATTCCAGAATATCATATCTTAAACCCTGCACTCCTTTAATGTGGAAACTGCTAACTCTCATGTGTCCTGACAGTATTTGGATTATTTCTCTCTGGCTGCTTGCAGAATTTTCTCCTTGACCTGGTAGCTCTGAATTTGATACAAATCCTAGGAGTTTTCATTTTGGAGTTTCTTTCAGGAAATGATTGGTGGATTCTTTCAAGTTCTCCTTTGCCCTCTAGTTCTAAGACATCTGGGCATTTTTCCTTTATAATATCTGAAAATATGATGTGAAGCCCCCCCTTTTTTTTTATTCCTGGCTTTTAGATAGTCCAATGACTCTTAAATTATCTCTCCTCAATCTGTTTCTAGGTCATTGTTTTTTATATATGACACATTTTCTCTTATTTTTTCATTCTTTTAAATTGATTTTATTTTTTCTTGTCTCATAGAGTGATTAGCTTCTATTTTCTCAGTTCCAATTTTTAAGGAGTTTTCTTTGGTATTTTTGTGCTTCTTTTACCAAACTATTCGTTCTTTTTTCATATCTTTCTTGCACTGTTCTTATTTTTTTTTTCAGTTTTTCCTCTTCCACTCTCATTTGATTTTTAAAATCATTTTTTTGCTTATTCTTGTCTTGTTCTTCAGTTCTCCTAGGAATTCTTGTTCAGCTCATGTCCAATCTGCACTTTTTCTTTGAGACTTTGCCTAAAGATGTTTTTAAGTCATTGTCTTTTTCTGTCTGTCTGTCTTGAGCTTCTCTGTTACCATAGTAGCTCTTTACGGTCAGGTTCACCTCTGGGTTTTCTCAGTTCAGTCTGCAAGTTTTCAGTGCTTCCAAAGTGGTGTGATGTGTTCACTGCTCTCCTTGTCTGAGCTGTGCAAGTTCCTGTCCCAGGTTTGGGTCTACTGGCTTGTGGGTGGTTCAGTTGCTGTAGAGTGTTATTGGTCTCAGTCACTGGTAGCCCACTTTTAGGTTCTGCAGGTTCAGAAGGACCGAGCTTGTTGACTCTCCTAGTGTCTGGGTCTCCCACCCCAAGTATCTCACCGCAGGTTCACATGCAGAAGTAAAGGTTAGCACTGAGCACCCTGCTGTGCCCTGGGCCTCAGGCCCCATGGCTCTGTTTGCAAAACGACTTCCTTGGTCAGTGCTCAGCTGGGGCCTCGCTGGCTCACTCATCTGTGGCCCAGAGGTGCCAGCTGGCCCCGTTCCTGCTCCCAGCACTAGTACAGGGTCCCCCAGGACCTGCTCCTGCCCAGGGGCTCAGTCCCAGCCCTTTTACCATCCTTGGGCACTGGAATGCTCCCTACTGTCCCAGCTGCCGTTATGGTGGGCTCCTGGCCAGCCCCCATCCCAGTGTCCACACTGGGCTGGAAAAATGACTCATGCAGACTTTTTCTTGGCTTTGCTGACCAGAATGTAGTCTGGCATGTTTTCTAGATGGTTAGAGGAGGAGGTGGGCTGGGCTCAGCAAAAACGCCGACCCTCCCTCTGCTATCTCGGCTCTGCCCCCATGCTGTGTAAGTACCCAGGCGCCTGCTTGGCCTCCTTCGCACTCTTGGGGAGGTCACCGACCCAGCCTTTCGCCCTGAGCTCTCTTGGCTTCTTTGCCATGTCTGCCTTCGTAGCCTGGCCACCCCGGCCAGGCCCTCATCACTCCTGGGTCACAGCCTTCCTGCCTCCAGTCCGTTCCTCACTCTGCCCCCAGAGGAGCAGACCAGGCGACTTCCCTCCACAGCTAATTCCAGGGGCTCCCCTCTGCCCCACCCCGTCTTTGCAGCTTTAGCCTCACTGGGCCTCGGGCCTCCTTCCGCACTCGGTGACCCTGCCAAAATGGCTGCCCCCACGCCGAGAGCTCATTCTGCCTTCCCTTTCCACTCCCACTTCTGCAACTCTCCCCACCCCGGCAGGCTCCCTTTCTTCCAATCAGCCTGTCAGTCCACGGGGATTTATAGAACACTTAGTATGGGCCAGGTGCTGGCCCAGGGGATGCAGGAACGAAGAATGAAACAATTCCTGTTTGCAGGGAGCGTCCATTCTAACGGGGGAGACCAAAAATGCATGAAAAATGTAAACAGCATCAGTGTAAAATGAAGAAATACACACACAGTAGTTCAGTACCTGGTGGTTTGGGACGTTCTGTCTCCTCCATCAGGATGCAAGTTCCTGTGGGTAAGAAAGGTTGCCTTCTTGGTCCTGGGGTTCCCAGCACCCAGCCCTATGCCTGGCATATAGCAGGTGCTTAATCAATGCTGGAGTGTCTGATGCTCAGCGTTCCTTGTTCCTCCTCCTAAGAGACTTTTCATCTTTGTGTGTTTTCCTTCTCGTTCCCGAGGCCGAACAGCGTATCCTATCAAGGGTTCATGCTCTGGAAAGGCAGCTGGAGACTCTGGCTTCCGAATACTCTGCCCATTGGCAGAAGGAGGCCATGCGGCTGGAGCGCCTGGAGCTACGACAAGGGGCCGGGGGGACTGGAGGTGGGAAAGGCCTGAGTCACGAGGACACTCTGACCCTGCTGGAGGGCCTGGTGAGCCGACGGGAAGCCACCCTGAAAGAGGACGTCCACAGAGACATCACTGCCCACATCCAGGTGAGGAGAAAGCTCTTCTGATGTGCCAGCTCACCAGGACTGGCCAGTGGGGGGCCAAGGGGCTGGAGGTGAAGCAGTGCCCTGGGAGTGCCAGAGCCTGCCGCGTTCTCTGGCTCTTGTTGAATGCCTGTCTCCTTTTCTGTGGCCCCCAGGAAGCGCTCACCACCCTCAGGGCAGAGCATCAGCAAGGTTTGGACAGCGTCCTGAAGAAGATTACTCGGGCATCCCAGGTAATGTTTCTGGGGCTGTCAGCGGGGGCGGGCATCTGGGGGGGCACCTTCGGCTGAATTGGCGTCCTCGAAAGGTCGGTGCGGCTCTCGGGGGACCTGGCCAGATTCCATACTTGTCTGGGAGCCTCTTGGATTGACAAAGGCTCTGGCCGGCCTGAGGGATGGCCACGTGCTAACAGCTGCCCAAGGGACCCCCTTGTCTGAAGGCTGAGTATGGAGCTTACTGACCTAAAAGAAACGTAGTGCCCCTCCTGCAGCTCCTCTCTGGAAGACTAGGGAGGGATAAGACTGTCAATGAGAAGAGTATGACTTAAGAACTGAGGGGGGCAGCTAGGTGGTGCAGTGGGTAGAGCTCTGGCCTTGGAGTCAGGAGGACCTGAGTTCAAATCCAACCTCAGACACATGACACTTACTAGCCTAGCTGTGTGACCCTGGGCAAGTCACTTAACCCCATTTGCCTCACCATAAACAAAGAAAAAAAATGACTTAAGAATTGAGTTTGAAACTTTGTTCAGGGGACCGAGAAGTGACCTGGGGAAAGTGGTTCATGGCTAATCCCAGCTGAGCTTGGGTCTTTCTCAGATGCCTCCTCTTGGTGGGAGGGTAGGAGGGGAGCCCAGTCTCTGAAAGGTCTAGTATGGACGCAGGGTCAAGATTTCTGGAGCCCTGCAGTTTGCAGAGACGCGGATCGTCCCCAGCAGACAGAGGGCCCAGCCAGAGGAGACCCGAGCCCCCAAAGTGCAGCACTGGTGTTTCTATCGGTCTCATTGTGCCCTCTTTTTCCTTACAGGACCTGGAAAGCTGGGTGCTCCAGCTCAAGTCTGAGTGGCAGAGGTAAGGCCCCAAAGGCCTGACTGGCAAAGAGAAGAGGAGGGAAGAAGGAGGGCTAGAAAGCTAGACCAGAGAAGCCACAACTGAGATTCTCTGGGGGGGGTCACTGGCAACAGAATACTCGGGTTAGTATGTCCATAGGATCGATCACAGCTGGTGAGGACCTCAGCAGATGAGGGTACTGGGGCCCGAGAGGGAAATGACTTGCCCAAGGTCCCACAGGGAGTAAATGTCAGCAAAGACTTTGCCCCAGGTCTCTGGCTCTGCTCTTTCCATTGAGGAGTGGCTTTCTTCAGACGAACCTGTGCCATTTCCTGGCCTCTGTCTGACTTCATTCTCTGTGACTATCCCATGGTTGACCTTGACCTTTCCTTCTGTCACTGGTTAGTTTGGCCCAAGAAGCCCTCCAGGAAAACATGCTAAAGGAGTTGGGCCCTTTGGAGGCCCAGCTGGCTGGCCTGAGGCAGGAGCTGGCGGCCTTGAGCCAGAGACAGGCAGCAATGGCGGAGCAAGTAGACCTTTGGCCACAGAAGATGGCGGCCCTGCGCAGTGACGTGAGTCCTCCAGTCCCCCGGTTAGGCCATGCATGCCCCTCGATCCCAGCAGGGCTGCTGCTGTCCAGGCATCTGCCCGAGGAGGCCCAACCCTCGAAGGTGTCCACTGGGTACTTCCCAAAGATTGGGCCTGTTGTGTGGGCTTTGTGACATGGAGGGGGCATTCCTCATCTGTCAGATGGGATACCAACAGCCCGCGAGGGTCCAGTGAGATCCTGTTGGCAGACCTCAAAGCAGTGGAGAAATGCCAGTCACCTTACCTGGCACCAGGCAGGCACATGCTGGCCCTGAGCTCTCGGAGGCTCTCTGTCCGGGCCCTCTTCCCTCCTCACCTCTCTGTTCGCTGAGCTCTTTCCTCTGGGGGCTTCTAGGTGGAGTCTCAGTTCCCAGCCTGGATCAGTCAGTTCCTTCTTCGAGACAAGGGCGCTCAGGCCGGGCTCCTTCAGCTGGAGGAGGTGCAGGCCCAGCTCCGAGACCTGGAGCACAGAATCCTCACTCACGTGGCAGAGGAGCAGGCCAGGTCCACCAGCGAAGCTGCCGCCAGCCTGAGGCTGACCCTTCGCAAGGAGGGAGTGACAGGGGTGACCGAGGAGGTGAGGCCTGCCCCACTACCTGTGTGCCTGGCGGGGGTCACGGGTTTGCCCTGAGAGGAGCCTCCCAGGAGGGAGAGGGAAGCCCTGGCCGAGCAGGTAGCACGCTTTCCCTTCCCCCTAAGGGCTGGGCCCGTCCTGCGGGCAGCCTGGCCCACCAGTGCATGCCTGTCTTTTAGGAAGTGCACCAGATCGTGCAGCAGGCGCTGACGCGCTACAGTGAAGACCGCATCGGGCTGGTGGATTACGCCCTGGAGTCCTCAGGTAGGCGGCCTGCGGAAAGCTTGGGACTGACAGATTGGAAAGTCGAGAAATGGACAGCTCGGGATGCCCCTTCTGGGCCGGGGCAGTGAGGAGGGCGGATGCCCCGGCAGCACCCCTCGCCTTGAGGGCTGCCCTAGGCCCGCCCCGGGTGCCCCCACCTTATCTCCCTGTTGCTCTTCCAGGGGCTAGCATCATCAGTACCCGCTGCTCGGAGACCTATGACACCAAGACGGCCCTTCTCAGTCTGTTTGGCATCCCCCTGTGGTACTATTCACAGTCCCCGAGAGCCATCCTCCAGGTAGGGCTGAGCAAAGGTCCACCGGCGTGGATCTCCACCTGCCATCTGCCGCCCTCCTCTGGGGGGCCCCAACACCGGGGTCTGTTCCCTCTGCTGCCGCCCTTCACCTGACCTGTCTTGTGTCCACAGCCAGACGTCTACCCTGGCAACTGCTGGGCATTCCGGGGCCCCCAGGGCTTTGCAGTGATTCGCCTGTCTGCCCGCATCCACCTCACTGCCGTCACCTTGGAGCATGTGCCCAAAGCCCTGTCTCCCATCAGCAACATCCCCAGCGCCCCCAAGGACTTTGTCATCTTGGTGAGTACCTGAGCCTGGCAGCTCTCCTTTCTAGAACAGAGAAAAGCCCTTTCTTAACAGCAGCATTGCCAGGTGAGGAATGGAAGGATGTGCCCATTTTACAGATGGGACATTGAGGCTGGTCTCCTGACTCCACGGCCAGCCCTTCTGCTCCTCTCCCTCTTCTTAGAGAGGAGCCAGAGGCAGCCAATGCCTCCTTAGGGTCCTTTGCTACAACAAGTTGCCTCCGTGGCCAGTTGTCCCAGTGGGGAGCTGGGCGGGATGGGCAGAGATGGAATGTCCACGTAAGGAGGATTTGGGAGAAAAGATGGAGCCGGAGGAGAAGGTGAAAAATGCAGGGGGAGGGGGACGCTTCAGGGCCCAGATCCTGATACAGATGGAGAAATGGAGGCGCCCACCGTTAAGCGTTTTGTCCCAAGCCATTCAGCAGCTTCGGGGAAGAGACTGCAAAGGAGGCCAAGGGCCTGGAGGGGAAAGGCTCTGTCTCTTGAATTAGTGAGAGAGATGCTACGAGGTGAGGGGGTCAAGGGAGGAGGCATCACGGCGGCCTTTGTTTGCTCCCCTTTCCCCTTCCCAATGTATCCTCCTCCTCCCCCGCCGCCTCCCTTTCCTTCGCCTCCCTGGATTGATTTGGATTCGTGTCCTAACAGCATGACCTTTCCCACACCCCCCTCCCATCTGTCCATCCGTCCATCCATCCCTTCCTTTTGCTTTTCCTTCCGTGCAGGGGCTAAAGGAAGAGTCCCAGTCGGAGGGGCTGGCCCTCGGGCAGTTCACCTACGATAATGCTGGGGAGTCCATTCAGACCTTCCACTTTCAGGTATGGAGGGCCCGTCCCACAGCAGCGACCCAGGCAGGCTAGTGGTCTTGGGGCTTTGTGAGTGGCTGCAGTGGAAGTCAGGACCCCGTGGGTCTGATAGGAACCTGAACGATAAGGTTGTGGCTTACTTCAGCCACTGCTCTTCGAGGGGAGCCTGGGGCGGAAGGGCTCCGGGGTAGGGTGTCCACCAAGGGATCTCCGGCCTTCCTGACCCCACTCTTCTCTTCCCACAGGGCAACAACACAGCCCCATACCAGGTGGTAGAGCTCCGCATCTTGAGCAACTGGGGTCACCCTGAGTATACCTGCATTTACCGCTTCCGGGTCCATGGGAAGCCTGCCAATTAGCCCTTCCCCCCAGGTCCCTTCACCCCTTCCCCCTTCAGCCACCTCCCCTCCACCAGCAAGCAGCTCCACTACCTTCTCCCCTCTCACCTATGCTTAATCCCTTCTGGGCACTATGGCTTCTGGGAGAGAGACAGAACATGGAAGCCCACCTCCGTGGAGCGGTCCTGGCCCGCTGGGCTCTATGATATGGAGACCACCAGCTGAGCAATTTCTGTTTCACTCCCAATCCTCCTGAGGGTCAAGTGGCCCAGTTCCCTGCAGGCCCTGCCCACCCCCCAGAGGTGTATATATAGCTATGTATTATATGTTGGGGGTGTGGGGAGGGCCTTGCTATGCTCAGCAAAAGTCCAACAGAACCACGGCTAATGCCACCTTGGCTCTAGGGCAAGGAATTGGGTGTATTCAGGGCATGACAAACTGGGCAACTGCAAAGGCCAGTCTGTCATGGGCATGCAGGTGGCTGATGCCCCTGTCCATGGTACCTTGCTTGGTTCTCTTCACCACTGGACATGATGGAGGCAGTCTTTGGAATCAGAAGCACCTGGGACCGACCACAAGTCCCTGAGCTTTTTGTTCTGACAAGGCCAACAACCTCGATTTGGGGGAAGTTCTGGCCTGAGGATCACCTGGAGTGGCCTTTAGAAACTGTTACGTGGGGGTGTAGCCATGGCTGGGAGGCCCCTTCTACCCACTGGGACTTAATTTAGAGAGGAGTGGAGGGTTTCTGGTGTGTGAGAAAGGCAGTATTAGACACAGCATTAATCACAGTTTAGATAATGCTGAAAGGGAGGAGGGCCCAGAGTGCAGCCAGGGGCCGTGGGGAGAGGGCCTTCCCTTATGTTATTGGTAACAGGTTTTTCCTCCCTGCCCTCACGGACCCAGAGGCCCTACTTCTCCACTCTAGCCATGCCTGCATCCACCTCCTCACCTGGAGCTCAGTCACTGTGGGCTCTCCTTTGGACCCACCAGCTCATGCGGTTGTGGGTATGATGGGCAGGAGACTGGCCAGGATCCTGATGAGAAAGGCCCTTCCCTGGCCCTGTGTAGGGTTGGCATTGAGCCAATGTTGCCCTCTCTCCCTGGGGGGGACTTGCCCTGCCCCAGGCACTTTTGCAGGGAAACGGGACATCATAGCTCATCAGGGTCTTGCTCTGGGCTCTGATTTTAGTTCCCTTCTGGCTTGGTTAGCACATGAGCAGGTGTTAAGTTTATTGGGATAGGGTTGGAGGGGAGCTTGTTGGAGTTAAGGCTGGGATGGGAGGGGGAGGGCAAATTCTTGGCCCTGCGGGCCAATTGTATTATGTATATAGATATATATTTATATTTATACATAGATATATTTCATGGTTCTTTTTTATCAGATAGAAAAGGTAAGGGCTTCATTCCTGGCTGCCTCCCCTGGGGCCCAGGGTGATATTCACTCCAGCCCCAGCTTGGGGGGGGTGGGCTGTCAAGCACTGATCCCCACAGTGGCATCGCCATCCTTTCTGCCTCTTGCCGTCAGGAGGGAAGGCAGGGGTTCACACCATGGGGCTGGCCACTGGTTCCCGAAGCCAGCAGGGGTGCCCACTCTTCTGCAGGTTTCAGGGGCCAGCAGCAGTTGGTGTGGGGTTGACCCCAGCTTCCCCTCAGCCCAGCCTGCTCCCGCTGCTTTTGTCCCCTCCCCGGGAAGCTGGCATCTGAGCAGCCCCACATAGGAACCTACAGATGGGGGCTCAGCTCTTCCCCATCACAAAGACTACTGTTTAATTCTTTAGTTTTATTTTTTAATCGACAGATTCTAATTTATGCCTATGCAAAAATAAATTTGCTCTTGGATCTGTGGTTGCTTCTTCTCTAAACGTCACATGGAGGTTGCTGTTGAGGCCACCTCGGAGTAGTGGGGGAGAAGAGGCAGGGTTGTGGTGGAAACCCTCTGTTCAAAGAGCGGCTTCCCTTCTGCTGAGTGAGGCCTGGGAGGGAGCGCCCTGGGCAGCAGAGGGAGCCCAGCCCAGGCCTGGGCTTGAAGAAGCAGAGCTGGGGGAGGGGGCCAGAGGAGGCCCAAAGAGGTTCCTGGGCAGCGATGGAAAGGGCCCTTGGGGCCTGGGCTTCCTGATTCCCAGAGAAGAACAAGCTGTCCGGAATTGTTAGAATGGAGGAAGCGCCTCGCAGATGGGAATTCCTCTTCCTGAGACTGGAATCTCACTGTCAGCATCCCCTCCCGACAGCCTGTTCGTTAGGCTGTTCCAAATAGTTTTCCTCCAGACCAGCACTGGGGCCAGCCATGGCTTGACCATGGGGTCCCTGGAGATGTCCGTAGGAGAGAGGGACTGAGGCAGAAAGAACTCCATGGACAGAAAAACAGAAACAGAAAGAGGCCTCCAGGAGACTCTGCTTTTCCTGTCACCCATCTAGAGGGGTCACAAATAGGACTGTGGTGCCCCAAGGTCCCCCCGACACCCTACTAAGGTTCTGAGCCAAAATCTCTCTAAACTCCCAACCCAGGTGAAAAGATTTCTTCTGGCTCCTCAGACATTCCATCTAATATCAGCTCAGAATGAACTGGAGTTAAATGCAGTATTTTGGGATGAGAGGTGGAGGTTAGGGAAAATGCCCTCTTCCCTTACCTATTACTTAATTTAATTTAACCCGTTAACTGTTTCCAAATCCACCGGTCATCTGTGGCTCAGTCAAAGGCTTTACTAAAATCTGAGTGCACTTTGCAGCATTTCTCTGATCTAAGCGAAGACTAGCTGCTCATCGTTCACTGTGGATCTGCGATCTCAGCAGCACGGGCAGTTCTGCCCTCCTGTCATGAAAGCGAATCACTTCATTTACCCGAGCGGGGAAAGTGCTCAGAGGCTGATCAAGCAGTGGTTCCACTGAGGCTGAAAATTGCTTTTTTCATGGGGCAGTTCCTACCTGCTCAATGAACCACTGCACCTTATATAAAGCAGTGAACAGGGAGAGAGAGTTCAGGATTCTCTGTTCAGTCACTTGGCCACAATGTCTGCATTGAGGCAACCTCTCACAAAGCACAAATGAGCCAAGAACGTAACTTCAGGGTTACCTAAGGGACATTTAGAGTAGGCTGGAGCTCATCTTGAGCCCAGGTGTATTCAATCAATGGGAAAGGAAGAGAAAGTGAGGCTAATAGACCTCTGCCTCCTTGCTTCTAACTAAAGGGGGGGAGACAGTTTAAAAAGGAAAGCAAGCTAATCTGAATCCTACAATCATCTAAAGGTAATCCATCCAATCTAGTAGGCCTATAGTAGGCCTCCAATGCAGAAATCCTACAGAGCTCTGGGGGGGCACGCCCTGATTGACAGGTGTGACCTGCATGAAGATCCAGACAAGGAGACTGAAAAGGAGCAGTCAAATAGGTAGGAAGAGAACCAGGTGAGGGTGGAGTCATGAAAATCTGCAGAGAAAAGAACGTGAAGGAGAAGAGGGCCCTGGGCTTAATCCTGGGCCTGCTCCTCTTCTCCCTCCATTCTGCTTCACTTGGTGATCACATCAGCTCCCATGGAGCTCCCTCTCTATGCTGATGATTCTCAAATCTACCTATTCTGCCTGAGACTCCTTGCTGACCTCCATCTTTCATCTCTGGCTGCTTTTCAGATGTCACAAATTGGATGTCCAGTAGACATCTTCAACTCCACATGTCCAAAACAGAACTCATTATCTTCCCCCTAAACTTCCCCTTCCTACCCTCCCTATTACTGTAGTGGGCACCACCACCTTCCAGGCTCCCAATCTTGGCATCACCCTGGATGTCTCTCATCCCCCACATCCATGCCAAGGCTTGTCCCATTCACCTGTGCAACATCTCTTGCAGATTTCACCTCTGCAGCACCTCTCATCAATTTCACCTCTCCAGCACTTCCCATCAATTTCACCTTTGCAGCACACCTCTCATCAATTTCACCTCTGCCACATCTCTTGCAGATTCCACCTTTGCAGCACCTCTCATCACTTTCACTTCTGCCACATCTCCTGCAGATTTCACCTTTGCAGCAGCACCTCTCATCAATTTCACCTCTGCAAGCATCTTTCAAAGTTCAGGCTCTCTCTCCTCTGATGCTGCCCCTCCCCTGGTCCAGGCCTCATCACCTCACACCTACGCTATTACAGTAGCTGCTGGTGGATCTGCCTGCCTCAAGTCTCTCCATATTCCTTCCAGATGTCAAACTGATTTTCCTAAGGTGCAAGTCTATGTCATCCATCTATTCAATAAACCCGTGGCTCACTATTTTCTCTAGGATCAAATACAGAATCCTCTGCTTGTCATTCAAAGCCCTTCGTAACCTAGCCCTTTCCTCCCTTTCCAGTTTTCTCACACTTCACTCCCCACCCCGTCTTCTTCAGTCCAGCGACACCTGCCTCCTGGCTGTTCTTTGCACATGACTCTCCATCTTCCAACTCAAGGCCTTTTCTCTGGCTGTCCCCCATGCCTAGAATGTTGTCCCTCCTCATCTCTGCTTCCCTGGCTTCCTTCAGGTGCCAGTTAAAATCCCACTGTCTATAAGAAGCCTCCCCCAACCCCTCTTAATTTTGCCTTCTGTTGACTTCTTCCTGTTTTCCCCATATATAGTTTGTACATAGTTGCCTGCGTGTTGTCTCCCTCATCAGACTGTGAGGTCCTTGAGGGCAGGCACCCTGATTTTACCTTTTTTTGTATTCCTAGCTGTTAGCATAATGCCTGGCACATAGCAAGCATTTAATGAGTATTTCTTGACTGACTGATCATATTAAAGACTGTAGAGAGATAAAGGAGGATGAGGACTGAGAGAAGGTCATTAGATCTGGCAGTTAAGAGGTCATAAGAGGGTAGTTTTGGTTGAATAATGACATGGGAAACCAGAACAGCCAAGAACCTGTGAGCCAACCTTCCATGTCCTGAAGTCTATGGTTTCATTTATAGCAAGAATGTCAATGTTGATATATTTCATATCCTCTAATAGAATGTTAAATAATGATCGCTGGATAAGATCTCTCATTTAGGGTAGTGCAGTTAAAGTTCAAAGCTGAGATTTCATAGCACCTTCCTGCCCCCACCCCCTTTTCTGACACTGCCCTTATCACTTGGGTCTTACAAGGGAGATGCCCAAAATGAAGGCAATTTTGCATTTTTGTTTTATGAGTTGCCATGGCCAAAAGTCACCACCTGGTGGCGAGCCCATAGCTAAGACTACTCAGAATCCTCATCTTATATCAGGAGCTGCCTCCCAAGTACCACATATGGACTCATTCATGTACATGTAACAGAAGAGAAGCTCCCTGGGCTGTCTCTGTATCTCAGTGCCTGCAACATAATAAGAGCTTCTCAGATTTTACTGAGTTGAATGCACTCACCGCCTCCACACTGATCTGGGCCTTCCACTCCCTGTTATCCATGTTGGTGTCTTATCCTTCCTATTCCAAAGATCATTCTCCTTGGAAGAGAAAAGAGAAGCAAAGTACACAATAGTCCAGCTATCATTTATGCCAAGGCGTAGTCCAATCCCTTCCTTGTACCTTCTCTTGCCTCCAACATAGCTTAAACCCACGCACACGCACATGCACACATGCACACAAGCGCACACGGACACATGCACACACACGCACATACAAATTTGTACTTGAGACTAAAATATTGAAAAGAGTTAGACCTAATTGTTAGAAATCAAATGATTATAACCATTCTGAAGTTATTTCAATGATTTTAAGAGTTGCAGTTTGGGAAGAGGCAGAGCCAAGATGGCAGGGCCTAACTTGAGCTCTCCCCCAGACCTCTCCGAGGCCTTTAAAAATGACTCTAAACAAATTCTAGAGCAGCAGAACCCACAAAAAGGCAGAACGAAACAAACTTTCAGCCCAAGACAACATGGAAGGTCAACAGGAAAAATCTGTTGCACCAAACTGAGAGAGGAGCGCAGGCCAGTGCAGGCCATGCCAGCACAGACCAGGCCCCAGCAAACCCAGAGCAGGCCTCAGGGCACTGAATCACTGGCAGCTGTGGTGGTTTCTAGACTTCTCAACTCACAAATGTCAAAGTCAACTTACGCAATAACCCACAGACGGTAAGGGGATAGAACAACTGATCAAAAGGAGATTACGGGGGTCTCTTTGCTGGTACTGAGGCAGGATTCTCTTGCTTTGCCCACATTTGAATCTCGGTCACAGTCCTGGGTGGTGGCCCTGGGGTGAGGAGGAGCTTGTGGCAGCAGTGGAGAGGAAACCCTCCTCACAGTTACAGGGCAGAAAAGAGTGCTTGTGGTCACTCACAGACCAGAGCACAGGCCAGGAGGGGAGTAAACACCTCTCCTTAGATCATACCACCTTGGAAGAACTGAAAACTTAGAGGTCCCTAGAAGTATTTCTGAAAACAGCTGCACAAAACCCCTGAAACTTGGGACGGTACACCCTCCACATTGGAAGCAGAGTCCTACCTTAACAAAGAGTTAAAAAGTTAAGCAATTGGCTGGGAAAATGAGCAAAAAATGGAAAAAAACTCAGACTACAGAAACTTACTTTGGTGACAAGGAAAATCAAAACATACTCTCAGAAGAAGACAACAAAGTCGAAGCTCCTACCTCCAAAGCCTCCAAGAAAAATGTGAATTGGTCTCAGGCCATGGAAGAGCTCAAAAAGAATTTTGAAAATCAAGTAAGAGAAGTAAAGGAAAAATTGGAAAGAAAAATGAGAGCAATGCAAGAAAATCGTGACAAACGAGTCAACAGCTTGCTAAAGGAGACTCAAAAAAATACTGAAGAAAATAACACCTTAAAAAACAGACTAACCCAAATGGCAAAAGAAGTCCAAAAAGCCAATGAGGAGGAGAATGCCTTAAAAAACAGAATTGGCCAGATGGAAAAGGAGGTCCAAAAGTTCACTGAAGAAAATAATTCCTCAAAAATTAGAATGGAGCAAATGAAAGCTAATGACTCTTTGAAAAATCAAGAAATTATAAAACAAAACCAAAAGAATGAAAAAATAGAAGACAATGTGAAATATACCATTGGAGAAACAACTGACCTGGAAATTAGATCCAGGAGAGATAATTTAAAAATTATTGGACTACCTGAAAGTCATGATCAAATAAAGAGCCTAGACATTATCTTTCTTTTTTATTATTTTTTTGATAATTAATTTTTCATTTTCAACATTCACTTCCATAAGATTTTGAGTTTTAAATTTTCTCCCCCTCCCCCTTGACTCTCCCCCCCCAAGATGGCATGCAATCTGATACAGGCTGTACTTATACATTCATATTAAGCATATTTTCCCATTAGTCGGGATGTAAAGAACAATTAGAACTAATGGGAGGAACCACAAGAACGAAGCAATAAAACAAAATGACAAAAGAAAAGGACAGCAAATAGTATGCTTCTATCTGCATTCAGACTCCATAGTTCTTTCTCTGGATGTGGATACAATTTCCATCGTGAGTCTTTTGGAGTTGCTAGAATCATCTTTCAAGAAAATATCAAGGAAAACTGCCCTGATATTCTAGAACCAGAGGGTAAAATAGAAATTGAAAGAATCCATCTATCACCTCCTGAGAGGCCCCAAAAGGAAAACCTCGAGGAATATTATAGCCAAATTCCAGAGTTCCCAGGTCAAGAAGAAAATATTGCAAGCAGCCAAAAGAAACAATTCACATATGGTGGAACCACAATCAGGATAACACAAGATTTAGTAGCTTTTACATTAAGGGATCAAAGGACCTGGAATATGGCATTCTGGAGGTCAAAGGAGCTAAGATTAAAACCAAGAATCACCTACCCAGCAAAACTGAGTGTAATCAATGAGGGGGAAAAAATTGATATTCAATGACATAGAGAAATTTAATGCATTCTTGAGGAAAAAATACAGCTAAACAGAAAAGTTGACTTTCAAATACAAGACTCAAGAGAAGCACGAAAAGGTAAACAGGAAAAAAAATCATAATGGACTTATTAAAGTTGAACTGTTTCACTCCTACATGGAAAGATGATATCTCTAACTCATGAGACCTTTCTCATTATTAGGGTAGTTGGGAAGGAACACACACACACACACACACACACACACACACAGGGCACAGGGTGAGTTGAATATGAAGAGATGATATCTAAGAAATAAAATTAAGGGGTGAGAGAGGAATGTATTGGGAGAAGGGGAAAGGGAGAGGTAGAATGGGGTATATTATCTCACATAAAAGAGGCAAGAAAAAGCTTTTACAGTGGAGGGGAAGAGGGGGAAAGTGAAAGGGAATGAGTGAACCTTACTTTCATCAGAATTGGCTTAAGGAGAAAATAACATACATACTCAATTGAGTATGGAAATCTATCTTACCCAACAGGAAATTAGGGGAGAAGGGGATAAGAGAGGAAGGGGTTGATAGAAGGGAGGGTAGATTGGGGGAGGGGGCAATAAGAAGCAAATACTTTTGAGGAGGGACAGGGTGAAAGGAGAGAATAGAATAAATAGGGGGTGGGGATAGCATGGAGGGGAATATAGTCTTTCACAACATGACTATTATGGAAGTGTTTTGCATGACTGCCCATGTATTACCTATATCAAATTGCTTGCCTTCGCAATGGGGGGGGGGGGGGGGGGGGAGAAAGGGAGAAAATTTGGAACTCAAAGTTTTAAAAGCAAATATTAAAAAAATAATAATAATAATTTAAAAAGACCTTAGTTGTCCTTGACCCTCTCTATTGGTGGACATCTGGTCTTGGTTTGACTTTAACTGGCTGACAAAGCCTAGCGAGAGTCAGTAATATAAGGGGAAAGGCCTTGGGCCCTGTCCCTCAAGGCTCACATATGGCCCTATCAAAATGGGCTGCCGTCCTTCTACCCCAGAATTTGTTCTTTCATCTGATGTGGAGGAATTGGAGGCTATCACCTTGCAAAGTATAGAAATGAAAGCTGTGATGTCAAGGTCGGGAAACTACCTTGTGAGTTTTGAAAGGTCAGGAGAGCAGGCCATCCAGGTGTCAAGGCCATGCTAGGTTTTGCAGTCGGGCCATTCATGGATTCCTTGAAGGGCATCCTACCCAGAGGAAGCCAGGGCTCATGTGGCCGTCATTCCACCCTGGATTTGAATTTGGTGGCACCAATGCTATGCAGAAACTGTGCTAAGTCTGAGCCTGCTCACCCCAGGCACCAAGGCGCTATGCAGCAGACTGCTCCCAAGGCGTTTGGGGAAAATATTTATACTCTGGTTATTACCATGTCTTTGAAGTAAGTATTGCTTTGTTAAAGAATAAAAAAGTTGCAATTTGGGGGTAGAAATATAGTCTAATATTCACCCAAATGAACGATGTTGAGAAATAGAACAGATATTAAGGTACTTGGGATGTTCCCACACGTGGAGTTCACACACATGAGGTTTATACACCACACTCCAATGCAGTTAGATGTTTCTTCTTACCTGACACGACACAGGGCCATGAGCCTGTGTCAATGGGGGAAAGGGCTAGTAGACCCTCAGATTTCATCCCATTTGTTGTAATAACAGAGGCTGGGTTGGAACCCCAGGCCCTCCTGCTCTTCTAAAGCCTCTTCACAGTAGAGGGCTCTGAGCCTACAAGAAAGATGGCAGCTCCCCAGCATATGTACAGCCCTGACTTGGGATTAGAAGACCTGGGTTCAGAACTCAGTTTTGCGAGGTCCTGTGTGATCTTAGCCAAGCCACAACCTTTACCAAGTCTCAGTTTCCTTTTCTGTAAAACTAAGGCTTTGGGCTAGGTCATGCTTAAGCTAAAAAATGCTGTGGTTGGATTCCTGGAGAGGATGGGATTCCACAGATTATATAATAATGACAGAAGGACAAGGGCCCTGTTCCAAATCCAGAGTTTCCAGGCCCTGCTCCTAGAAGGCAACCATCACTAATGGTTCCTGACAACAGCGCTGGGTGGATTGGAATGCCAACTTCCTTGCTGTCCACCCCAGTTCTTTCTTCTGTATCATAAGGAGGTAGTATTGCAAGATCCTAAGGCCCCTCCCAGCTCTAGAAGCCGAAGGCCCCATTGTTTGATTAATGCCATGTGGGTACAGAAGGATGGCCCCTGGTTACATGGGGTGGGCAACTCCGACAGCTTCAGGGAGGAAAGAAAGGCATAGCAGTCGCAGCAAAGCTAAGACCCCACCACTTCCCAGGCCAGAAATCACACCCAGGGTCTAAGGCAGTAGGTGAAATCAGGATTCAATTGAAAATAACCTAACCATCCAGGGGGACTGACATCCCCAGAACTGCTGGGCATCTGAAAACACAGGAGTCCACAGGCCACCACCCCACAGCTCCCACGTTGCCCAACAAGGCAGCAGGATGGTGGTAACCTGAGGGAGGGGCATGACCCCCCGCTGAGCACTATGGGAGCATTGGACATAAGGCCACTTTCCCAGGCACAGAAGAGGCCTCCAAGTGACTGCACTCTGTCAGGACCCTGGAGCACATCCCAGAAGAGGAATTAGAGGAGACCCCACGGTCTGCCTTTAAACCCTCTGCCACAGGTATGAGCCTCTCATGTTGGAGGGTGGTGATTGCATCCCCCATGCCCACACCCACTAGGTCGGTGACTGGTGATTCAGGGGGGCCACGTTTAAGGGGCAGGGACTGTCACCAACACAGGCTCCCCCTCATTCCTTCTTGTCCTATCAGTCCAGGTCAAGTGTTATGGGACTCCACCCCAGTACTGAAGGAGGGCCTATGAGAGGCTGAACAGCTTGGTGGGGACACCCTCAAGTCAGTTAGGATGACCTGGGTGTTAGTATTTGACCTCTCCTGGCCATGAGACCCGAGACACGTCCCTTAACATCTCAGTGGCCTCGGTAGCTCTCTATCTGTACAGGTGGACCTCCAGTATCCCCCTCATGGGACCTCCCTGCTGCCATAAAATCCCAGGTCCTGTACACCAGACTCTGCCACCACCACCACCACTGCCACCGCCACCTCCATTACCGTCAGCAGCAGAGGCAGCGGATGTAATGGAACAAGCCCAGGACCTGAGGTCAGGAGATGCGGGTTTGCGTCCTGGCTCTGCCCACACAACTCACTGGGGCCGCCTCGTCGGCCCTGCGTGTCTTCATCCGCACACGGTGGGGTTGACCCAGGTGCTCTTGGAGGTCCTCTGTGGCTCTCAATGCAACATGCCACAAAGGTGGATCAAGGGAGAAAACTTGGGGAAACCCGTGAGACGGGGTCCATCTCGCTTCAGACACCCACACAAGTGTCCCGCCCAGCGCCCTCCAAAGGCAAGCTGCTGGACACAGGCCTCAGGCCTGGACCTCATTCCCTTCAGCCCTTTCCGCGGCTCTCTGAAACCACACAGGGCCCTAGCCTCCTCCCCAGTGGGGCAGCCCTAACCTAGTGGCTCCCAGGAGGGGCGCTCAGGCTGGCCAAGGGAACATGTGAGGCTACTGGACTGCAAACAAACTTTTATTTAGAATGTCAGTCTGGCTGGTCCATAAATGCTGGTCAGTAACAACCAGGGGAAACACCTGGGGGTGGGAGAGGGAAACTAAGTCAAGTCTGGGGAAGGGGCCTCGCCTTCTAGTGGGAAAAGGGGGACAAGGGGGGAAGAGAGTGAGAAGCTAAGGGCGGCCCCGGTTGGGGCAGAGCACAGACTTGGGCCGTGGCTCCTCCCTGGAGTGGGTCACAAGGCTGCCGCCTGAGCTGGTCCCACCCCAGCCTGAACTGCAGGCCTCAAGTCAAGCCGAGGAGGGCCCGTCCCACTCCCTCTCTCAGCACCCAGAGTTTCAACCCGCTGGGGACTTCCACACCCTTGGCACAAGCTCCGAGTCAGCTCCAGTGGCAGCCACAACGGGGCAGAGTGGGCAGGATGGACGGGCAGGGGGAGCAGCTGCTCCACCCACTCGGGGAGAGGATCCCCTAGCCCACAGGGGACTTCATAAACATAATCCCAAGCAAGCTGAGGGCCCCACCTCCAGGCCAGAGTGGAAATTCTCCAGAATCCCCAAAGCCAATTTGGCCGGGAAGGAAGAAGGGGGGATTGTCTCCAAACGGAAAAACTGGAAGCCATGGTGGCAGGTTGAGGGGTGGGCATAAGGCCAGTCTGAAGCCCTCCAATCTACTGGTTACAAGTTAAGCGCTTTGGGGCTTCCTTTTTCAGGGGAAGGGGGGACTAGAAAGAGAGAAAGGAGTGAAGGGGAGGCGGCCGTCCTTTCCATTCTCACCCCCATTTAGAACAGCAGAAGTGAGGGGCTGGAGGGCCCTCCTTTGGTGACCAGGGCCTTCCCCAGCCCAGGGGCCATTCTTCCTGCAATGCTCTGAAGGGAAGGGGAGTGGGGGAGGGTCCCAATCTAAAGGGCAGAGTACAGTGTCCCCCACCTCTCCCCACCCCGCCTGAGAACCCCTGAGGATAGTTATGCGTAAGGAATGGGGGAGAGAAGAGATGGGATCTTGATACTTGGCCCAGCCGCCTTCATCTTCACACACATACACACACGCACACACACACACTCTCTCTCTCTCTCTATATTTATATATATAATAATAAAAAGGAATAAAAACTCAGGGCCCAAGATGTACAAAAGTGTGTCAGGGAAGGTCGGTCCGAGGGCCCAGGAGGACAGTGGGGGCAAGTCATCCCCGCCCTCCTCCAGCCCTCTTCTGGAGCTTATAAATTACAATCCCGGGGACATGGAGGTGGAGGGGCCGAGGGGGCACGGGCTCGGCGGGGGGATAGCCACTCTGCTTCATCTTTCAGACAGGAGGTGGGGGACAGGAGGATCCTGGGGGAGGCCGAGTGGGGGGAGACGGGAGGGGTTCAGCAGCCACTGGCCGGCATCACGCAGGCCCCCTGGGACTTCACTTTGTGCCGCTGGCCTCCCCGGCGACGGCCTCCACTGCTGGCCTTGGGCTGCAAGAGAGAACAGGGAGCCTCAGCGAGGAGGAGAGGGAAGGCCTCCAAGGACACTTCTAGGGCCACTTAGCTGGGACTTTTGCAGGCAGGGGGCAGGCAGGGAGACAGAGACTGTGAGTCAGGAGTCCCACGGTCTTGTTCATGGCACATGCCACTAGCTAGAAGCCCTCAGGAAGTTTTCTTCCTTTCTCTGAGCCTCAGTTTTCCAATCTCTAAAATGGGAGTACTTCTCCTCACATAAGGCTCATGTAAGGAAATGTGCTTCATAGATTATAGAGCCAAGGAAATTCTGACACGCAGGAAGTCACTACCCTGGGGCTCAAGAGACCAGGCGGGCAGGCCAAAAGCGCCAAGGGACACAGAGCGCCAGACAAGTAGGCGGTGGCGGCAGCCGGCTCCCCAGCACACACTGAATACCTTGGTGCCCTCGCGACCAGGGGGCTCTTCATCCAGGGCAGCCTGGCAGGAAGGAATGCCAAGAGAAGGGGAGAGAAGAGGTAAGCAAGAAACAGAGCGAGCGCGAGAGAGGGGCCAAAGGAGAACGCGTGCCAGGCGAGGCGGAGGCCGGGGCTGACCGACAAGCTCCCATAGAGATCCTCAGGGTCACCCAAGAAGAGAAAGGCATCAGAAGCTGGGGTGAATGGGCGGCAGGGCGGCATGGGAAGAGCACAGAGGATGCAGCTGGTGAGGGCGTGGAGGAGGAAGCCGGGCCTAGGCCGAGCCCCTGCTCCCCGCAGGGCCTCAAGCCCTCACGCGGTCACTCCCGAACAGTGAATGGGGGGCCTGCCCCACCTCGTGTGCCTACCTGGGGCTGGAGGACGCTGGAGGGGGTGGGCTGGGCGGCCCCTGGCAGGGGAGCTTCCTCTCCAGGAGGCCCCCCTGCTGCCAGCCCGCCAGGCGGCCCCCCGTCATCCCGTTTAGTCAAGGGACCCTTTTTTGTCGACTGCATCTTGATCTGCTGGGGTTTGGCATTCATTGGGGAGTTGTTGGTGGTCTGCAGGAGCTGAGAGCCAGGGAGAGGAGGAGCTGGCAGCTGTCCGGGCTGGGCAGGGCTCTCAGGGGTGGCCACATAAGGCCCAGGGGAGGCAGGGATGGGAGCAGCCCTTCCCACCTAAGCCCAGCAGTGGCCTGTGCCCTCCAGAGCTCCCCTCCTCTGCCGTGCTTCCTGAGCCCCCACCCTCCCCACCTACAGCTGCTACAAACCCTTCCCGGGCACCCATGTTGCCTAGGGCCCTCCCTCTGCGCCTCCTGCCTTCCATGCAGCCAGAGACACCAAGGGCCTCAATGTCTGCCCATCCTCTACTCCCAAGAGCTGCGGGCCTGCACCGGGCCTGCATTCCTGCCCCAAGCACTAGGCCCCTGGTGAGTCCAGCTAGCATCTCTGGACAAAGGACAGGCGGGCTCTCCTCTCCACCCCTCGGGCAATGGCTGGCCTGCATCTCCCTCTGAGCACCGCCTCCCACCCCAGGCAGCCGGGCATAGCCCCCACCTTGGTGATGGTGCCCACAGCTTTGGTACGGCCCTCTCGGAACACCAGCCTCTGGTCTATGTGCAGATACTCGGGCGTCTTGATGAAGCGGAAGTGAACTGTGGCCTTGTCCCCGGTACGCAGACAGTCTTTGTCCATGCTCAAGATGGTGGCAGTCTGCCGGATGCTCCCACAATGCACTGCCACAGGGATGGGGAAATGGCTAAAGAGGGTGGGGGACCCAGTTGACCTTGGGACAGACTAACATCAGTAAACGGTGGGCCTGGCAACATTTGCTGAACACAAATAAAACAAGATAAACTACGTGCTCTGCCCTCCTGCTGATCTGACTGAGGTCCTTAGCTGGGAGAGGCGTCCTGCCAAGCGGAAAGAGTGAGGAGAGGGATGAGGTCTGTGCTCTTTGGATCCAGGACCCTCCCTTTTGTTTGCCAGCTCTGAACGCTGTCCCCCCAAAAACAGCAGCAGAGGCATAGGATGGGATGGGAGGGAGCCACAGCTGGAGGGGCTCCCCCGGATGACGGGGTGTGGGGTTGGGGAGCTGCTGAGCCACCTACCCATCGCCTGGTATCGCGGGCTGATCGTCGTGGGGTGATGGAGGACCAGGATCTCGGCCTCGAACTCCCAGGAAGCTTGGGGATTCAGGCGCGGAGACACCATGACCATGCCTTTCCGTATAGAGGAGCGCTTAATCTAAGGGGGGGGAACCAAAAGGACCGCTCTGAGACTCAAGCCCTCCGCCCAAGAGCTCCCAGAGCCCCAGCCGTGCACGCGCTCTCTCTGCCCGCTGGCGGCCGAGGCTGCCCCTGCCCGGCTCGGACGCCCCCTCCCCTGCTCTGGGGCTCCACGAGAGTGTCCCCAGCTAGGACCGAGCCTCCAAAGCCCCCAAGGGGTCTGTCCTCTCCCCAGCTCCACAGGGGGTCTGGGGGACCAGGGCTTCTTAACCGTCTCAGTGTCTCCTGGGGGTCAGGCTGGTGAAACCCACGAAATCCTGTTCAGAACCACGTTGTTAAACATACACAATAAAATATATAGCATTACAGAGGAAACCGTTTTATTTTTTAAAAAAAAAAACAGGCTCCCCGGTGCCAGGCTTAGGCTCCTGCCTTCATCTAAGTCCTAAACCTGAGGCCAGGGAGAGGCAGGCATGCCAGACTCCACCTGCCCCCTCACCCGCCCCCTCACCCGCACCCCATCGGCTCCATGCTCCCGGCCTCACCTTCTTCAGAGCAAAGGAGGCTGTCTGGCCTCCGCGCACCTCCTTGACCGGCATCCTCTTGCGGTGGATGGACTTCACTGCGATGGGCAGGAAGTTGCCCAGGGGGTCGGGGCCCAGCAGCAGCGTGTCATTCAGCTTGATCAGGCCCCTCAGCGTGGTTCCCGACACCACTGTCCCCACGCCCTGGAGGACAGAGCGGAGGTGGCAGCGTCCTCTCGGCCAGCCGCCGGCACCTCCCCGGCCCTGGCCGCAGCCCCAGGCCTCTCACCGGCACGGAGTACGTGTCATCGATCTGGAACTCAGCGGGCTCATCCTCCCGATAACTGGTGCGTGGGGACAGCAGGTTCAGAAACATCTTGAGCAGGTCTAAATTCTCTCCTGTAACATTGGAGATCTGGAATATGGGGCACATCCTAAGCAGGGAGTGAAGAAAAAATCAACAGTGGCCAGCTGAAGTGGCCGGCTCCTTCCCTGGGGGCTCCCAAGGGCTGCCGGGGAACGAGGGGGGCTGCACACCCCACCAGAAATGGGCGCTGGGCTTACGGGGGGCTCGATGCCCTGACACAGTGAAGACAGAGGCACTGACCAAGGGAAGGAAGCCACAGCCTCTAACACTGCAAAGGGACTGCCCACTCCTCCAAGCCTGGGGCCCCAGGGGAGCAGCGCTAAGGGACAGCCACACTGCCGCAGAAGCAGCCGAGGAAGCCGGGAACCTGCCACGCACCTCATCTCTTCTGGGGGAATGAGCCGAGCTGCCTGCCAGGGCTCTCGCGAGAAAACCATGCCCTCATAGACTACCAAGCACTACATCAGTGTGAGCCTGGGGGGCCTGGCCAAGGAGGAGGGCAACCATGGCAAATGGCCACCTGATTCAGGAAAAGGCCAAAGCACCCAAAGGGCATAGGGCACCAGTTCAGAGGAGGAAGGCATCGCTTCTGGTTGGGAGGAAGAGGTGGCATATGAACAAGGCCACGGGGGAAGGGCCGCAGAAGAGGACCGTTAGAGAGCAGAAGGGGCCGACTTCAGGTCTCCTGCGACTCCTTGAAGGGGCCCATGACCACAGGCATCCAGCCCAAGGAGCTCCTCTCCCGCCCCGCCTGAGCCCTCACTACCTCTCTGAGCTGAAGTTGGATGCGGTCACAATCACATCGTCCTTGCTCTGCACCAGGACAGGGATCTTGCGGCAGCCCGGAGACTTCAGCAGGCGCTGCAGCAGCTTCAGGGTCTCTTAAAGAGAGAAAGGGAACAGAAGTAGGGCACCCGGCTTCCGGTGCAGGGAGTGGCACACTCAGCACTGACGCAAGCACGAGACAGACAGGCGGCTGGGCAGGCACATAAGAGCTAATGGCCACAACACCTAAAGTGGCATAAAGAGGGGTCCAAACTTTGTGTGGTAGCCCAGCCCAGGACACAGGAGACAAGAGATCAAGAGACCGAGAGAGGGAGAGACAGAGACTGAGACTGAGACTGAGACTGAGACTGAGAGGAGACAGAGACAGGGAGACGGAGAGACAGAAAGAGACCAAGAGAGGGAGAGAGAGAGCCTGAGAGAAAAACAGAGACAGAGACCGAGAAAGTGGGAGAGACAGAGACTGAGACAGAGAGGAGACAGAAACAGGGAGAAAAAGAGACAGAGAGACACCGAGAGAGGGAGAGAAGAAACAGAGACCAAAAGAAAATCAGAGACGATGATAAGCCTCATTTCTAAAATGTATAGAGAATTAAGTCAAATTTATAAGAATACAAGTCATTCTCCAATTGATAAATTGTCAAAGGATATGAACAGGCAGTTTTCAGAGGAAGAAATTAAAGTTGTCTATAGTCATATGAAAAAAAGTTCTAAATCACTATTGATTAGAGAAATGCAAATCAAAACAACTCTGAGGTACCACATCACACCTATCAGATTGGTCAACATGACAAAACAGGAAAATGATAAATATTGGAGATGTGGGAAAACTGGAACACTAATGCATTGTTGGTGGAGTTGTGAACTGATCCAACCATTTTGGAGAGCAATTTGGAACTATGCCCAAAGGGCTATAAAAATGTGCATACCCTTTGACCCAGAGATCATACAAATGGGAAAAGGACTCACGTGTACAAAAATATTTATAGTAGCTCTTTTTATGGTGGCCAAGAATTGGAAATTGAAGGGATGCCCATCAATTGGGGAATGGTTGAACAAGTTGTGGTATATGAATGTAATGGAATACTATTGTGCTATAAGAAATGATGAACAGGCAGACTTCAGAAAAACCTGGAAAGACTTATATGGACCGATGCTGAGTGAAGTGAGCAGAACCAGGAGAACGTTGTACACAGTAACAGCCACACTGTGTGATGACTAATATTGATAGACTTAGCCCTTCTCCGCAATGCAAGGATCTAAGACGTCTCCAAAAGTCTTCTGATGGAAAATGCTGTCCACATCCAGAGAAAGAACCATGGACTTTGAATGCAGATTGAAGCAGACTATTTGCTATTTTTTTCTCCTGTTGTGTTTTGTTTCCTCTTTCTGGTGGTTCCTCCTATTGGTTCTAATTCTTACCTACAACATCACTAATGTGAAAATATGTTTAATAGAAATGGATATGCACAGCCTTTATCAGATTGTGTGCCGTCTTGGGAAAAGATGGGAAGAAAAGTTTTAAACACAAAAGCTTATGGAAGTGATTGTTGATAACTCAAAATAAATTAATTAAATTTTTAAAAAGTGTAAGGAAGTTGAAATGGATTGCTGAAAACTAAAAATAAATTAATGAAAAAACAAAGAAAAAAGAAAAAAAGAGATAGAGACCGAGACAGTGAGAAAGACAGAGAATGAGAGAGAAGAGACAGAGACCGAGAGGGGACAGAGACAGACAGACAGAGACCAAGACAGGGACCAAGAGAGTGACGGAGACCAAGAAGAGACACACAGAGAGAGACTGAGACTGAGAAGAGACAGAGAGACCAAGAGAAGAGAAGAGGATGGGGGAGGGGCTGCTTCCTGTCCCAGGTGGTCCTGGGCTCCCCAAGCTGAGTCACTCACCAGCTGCCTCCGGCCACATTCCCAGGACACCCGGCAGGGTGCTCCTCCCTCCCAGGCACCACGACAGCCTCTCGCCCTGTCCCAGCTGCAGACTGAGCACAGGAAGGGTCCCACAAGAGAGATGAACAAGTCCTTCCCATGAGCTGGCAGCGCCCCACCGCTAAGCAGGCCTGTTGTTCCCACACCTGCTGGGGCACTGTGCCCCTCTGGTGACGGAGCAGCCCAGGATGACAGACCCTCAGCTCCAGCTACGCTCAGGGTTCGGAGAGTGACAGATAAACCAGGGCCCTTCCCAGTGCCCCACTATCTCTCTCCCTCACTAGCACAGGAAGCCGCGAGCAGCGCCCGCCTTGGGCCCACCCAAGAACAGCTGAACAGCCACAGGCACTGCAGCCGCCCTCCGCCCCGGCCCATTCCTCGGCGAGCCGTCACCTCCCAAGGGAACGGGGTACCATGTGTTAGTGTGAGCCAGACAAGCTAGACTGGAGCCAGGAGAAAGCCCTTTTACCCCGGGAAGTGAGGGCAGGCCTTGGAGGGGCAGGGGGGAGAGTGGCAACCCGGCAGGTGGCCGGAATAAAGCTGGAAAGGCAGGCTGGTGCCAGGCCCTGGCACACCTTCCCCACCAGCTAACCTGCCCCTCTTTGCCCCCTGCCCACTGCCCGTGGCTCCGCCTGTGGGATCTGGAGGGAAGGTCCCTCACTCTAAAAAGATGTTTCCAGGCCAAGATCCAAACAAAGAGAAGCTTGCTGGAGGGAGCCAATGGGGGCGTGCCTCCCACTTACCTTGTAGGATGTTGGCTGGACACATGTCAATCTTGGTGACCACGACAAAGACGGGAACGTTGAGCGCCAGTGCCAAGCCCAGATGCTCCTTGGTCATGCCCACAATCCCAGCATTGCTGCCCACCTGCCCCAGACAAAGAAAGGAACCACAAGTGATGGGGAGGCCATGGTGGAGCCCTCTTCAGCGCTGGAGTCACAGGTTTCAGGAGGAAAAGGAGCAGGAGACCGGACACTGGCAGCGCCCAGCACAACTCTGATGCCAGGAGGAGCCAGGGGCCAGCCGCGTCATCTGTGCGCAGAACTCTCTCCGCCAAGGCAGACGGGCAGGGAAGCGGACCGTGGTCATGGGCACTCATTAAGAGGCGAGGATGCTTGGCCAGGGCCACCAGCCAGTGAGGGGCAGAGGCAGGGATGCTCTCCAGTAAACCACATAGCCCATCTGCCAACAACTTACAAAGACGCCCAGTGAGGCCAGCCGCAGATTAGAGACTCAGAGGGCCCAATAGAGATGAACTCTGGGTGGCCGGGGCCACAGAAGCCCCTGCCCCTCGTGGCAGGCTTCTCAGCAGCCCTGTGACGGTGGGGTACGGGTACCACAGTCCCCACTCTGCACATGAGGAAACGGAGGCCCACAGAGGGAAAGGCCTCTCACTAATCAGTGGCTGAGACTAGACTCCAGGGCTCGGAGCACGATGGCCCGTGACACACAGGAGGGGAGGATGCCGGGGGCCTCCTGCTGCCCCTCTCCATCACTGCAGCATCCCTCAGAAGACTTATGAGCTCGGCCAAAATGGCAACGACCCAGAGAGGAAAAGTAAAGCGAAAGGCTGTAGCTCCCGCGTGTCCTTGGTGATGACCATGGGACCAAGAGGCATGAAGGGCATCCAAAGGACACACGGAACTGAAACAGGGATGCTCCAAGAGGACAGACAGACAAGGGGGGGGCAAACATCAAGGCCAGGCCTCTGGCTCACTGGGAGATCTTCTGGCGGTCTTGTAGGGAGACGTGGACGAGAGGCCCGGATGGGCTGGCGGGGGGACGGCAGCGGGGTGGCGGGGCGGCCCACCCTGAGATCCCGCTCCCCCCACCTCACTCTGAGGTGGCCCCGCCTGTCACCCACATAATGAAAAACAAAGGCTCGGGGTTCTGGGGAGCGACCTCTTCTTGAAAGGTCTCAACTGCATCCGGAGTTCTATCTTGGTCCCTGCCTAAAATTAGGGTCACACCCGAGTGGTCGGGAACCAGGGCTCAGCGGGAAAGGCTGCTCCTTTTACTTCCAGGTTGAAAGCAGCGTCACCATCTTCATTTGAGTGGGGCTCATTCTCCAGTGGTGTTCTCCCCAGCCTCCCCCTCCTCTTGGCACAGAGGGGACCCTGGGCTCAAGCAAGCTTGGGCAGGGTCCACCAGGGAAAAGCTGCATGGGCCAACCTGCGAGTCTGTCAGCTAAAGACCAGGCCAGTCATGTGTGGAGGGGCCGGTGACAAGGGCTGGGGTCCCTGCTCAGGAGGACTGCAATGGAGGGAGAGACCACAGACCCCCAAAAGACTGAATGTCACAGAGCCCTAGAACCGAAGCACGGTGGGGGGGGGGGGGGCTTTAATCAAAGACCACCAGAGGGAACTGTACATCAGCTAACGCCATTCCTGCTCCCACCTATTGGGGGGGATGTCACAGAGAAGGTGGCTTTGAGGCCTGCCTCGGCCACTTACTAATCACAAGGTCGTGGTCAATCACTTCTGTGCCCAAGGCTCTGACAGTCTGTGTTCTAGTCCAATGTCTCCAGATCTTACCTTTCCCTTAGGTTTTGAAGGGCTCTCCACTTGGAGTCCGTGTTAAAAAAACATTTTGATAACAGTCCTTCTGTCCTCACAAACACGACCCCGAGAAGGGCTCGCGGGCTTCAGAAGGCTGGCGGCCCGAGGGCTCCGCTCACAAACAAGGCGGCCGCCATGCTGAAGACAAGCGGGCCGCAAGCACAGGCCAAGGTCGCGCATGGGGCCGCCCTTCCTGGGAGTCCGCGCTGGTGGGAAGCATGAGTGTGTGCTTGCCATGAGCAGGTGCTCGCTCAGGGGCCAGCCACACGGACAGCAGCAGGACGAGGGAATACTACGGAAGGGCCTGCCTGCCCAACAGAACTGCTGCAGCTTAATTCTTTATGAAAGTTACGTACGAGGCTGATAACCTAACGAATTCTCAACCTCCATCATTAAAGAAACTTCAGACTGACCAAAAAAATTAGCTCACAGGATACCCAGGCCCAGACCTCTGTCCCTTTTCATCTCCTTTGTACGTGGAGATCTTCTGGGTAAGAGAAGCTTTCCCTCGCCCAGACGTCTCACCCCTGCCAACACTTGTCCTTCCCCAGCCCTCCCCACATCCCCCCACAGGGAAGGGTCACTGCTTCTCTTCCTTTAAAGAGAAGCATCTGTTCTGAGCTCCACAGGTACGTGTCCAGGTCTAGAGATTGTGTCTAGAGATTCCCCAGGGTGACCCCTGGCCCACAGACCCAACCCCTGCGCTCGCTAGCCGCTCGACTTCCCTGAACTTCGTCGTTCACAAAATGGGCACAGTGCCAAGATTCGCCCGGAATGACCAGCCAGGTCTGGCCCTGTTCCCTCCAATGGAGCAGAGCACTCCTGGGCCATCTGCAGCCCCGAAAACCTTTCCCCACAAAACCCCCTGAGTGTCCCATCTCAGAAAAGGCCGGCTCACACCAGTGCTCAATATCCCTGGACACGCCCTCAGCCAGCAGGCCTCACACCTACCATGAGCATACAGAAGTCGGGCAGGTGGCCAGTCATGCCAAAGACGGTCGTCTTCAGGTACTTCTCGTGGCCGGCCAGGTCTATGAAGGTGATGACCTTGGTGGACTTCTCACAGATCTTGGTCCACTCGAGGCTGCCCCCGTGGCTGTCGGGCTTGTTGACCACGTTGCCCTTGCTGTCGAAGCCCAGGATGTCGTTGCCCACGCTGCTGGTGCGGCCCGACTCCATCTCGTGCTTGTGCCGGAAGAGCTTCTGCCGGGCGAAGCCTCGGCCGTTGTCCAGCTCCCCGTGCGTCAGGACCCCCAGCAGCGTGCTCTTCCCCGCGTCCACGTTGCCCACCACGGCGACCCTGTGGGAGGGTGTCAAGAGGGACACGGGGGTGGGTGGAAGAAAGCACACCACCCCCCGCCGGCGTGTGGGTGGCTCTCACAAGCCGCCGAGGCCCTCGGCCTCCAGGAAGGAGATGCTCTGGCTCACCGCCTGTCTGGGCCACACGCCCACGGACAAGCCGGGGCACGAGCCTGGCACGCACCAGGGAATCTCCCTGCAGCTCTGGCACCCCAGAGGGAGCTCCCACATGGCTGAGCTCAGGCTTGACAAGAAGATGGAAGGCAGGACGGCCAGAGCCAAGAACGAGTGGCTCAGGCCCACTGGCGGGCACTCCCAGGGGCCTCCCCCCCTCTCTCATCTCCAAAGCCACTGCGCAGTGCAGCCCCAACGCAAAGTTCAGCCCTCCCGGAACCTCCCCGTCCCCAGGCCTGGTCTCTGGCTCACTGGCTGACAGTCTCCAGGAGCAAAACCTTCCTCCCTCAATGGCCCCCTGAATGCCGCCTTTCCTACCACACCTCATCTCTTGGCCCCCCCAAACCCAGATCCTGGCAGGAAAACGTGGGAAAAGGAAAGGAACCCGTCCTTCCTCCAGCTGGTCTATGCACTCTTGCAACAAGTACAAGAAAGTGCGTGGGCCAAAGCGGAGACACACAAAGTCTCTGGGTGTCGTCCACGGCAGAGAGAAGGGGGGCCCGAGGGCTCCAGCCTCCTTGGGCTGGCACTTTACCTGTCACCTCCTCACCTGACCTCCAGGAAGTCATTGTCTCCAACCCGCTTGCGGACAAGGTAGTCGCGCACTCGGCCGCCGGCCTCCTGGTGCTCCCGCAGGAGGATGACATCCGCCTCCATCTGCTCGGCCATGCTCTTCACGGTCGCATACGAGGCCTCCATGTCAGCCTCACTCAGCCCATACTCGGTCCCGTCTGCAGAAAGGCCCTTCCGTTCAGTCCAAGAATTGACTGAGCCCCTCCAACCATACCCAAGAGGCCTTGGTCTGTGCCCTTCGTGTGTCCCGAGTGTGAGTGTCCAAGTGAGGTACAGGGGCTACCTAGGAAGCAGCACATGAGTGAAACCCTAACACTGCAGGTGCCAGGAGGGGAGCCAGGGCAGAGAAGAGATGTGGGGGAGGCCGGCGCGCAGCAGGGCCTTCAAACTGACCCCCCGTCGCGGCAGTGCAGACACAGTGGGAAGAGCCTGGTGAAGCCTTGTGGGCCGGCTCCTTCCCCAACCTGCCTCAGGAGCAGAAGGAGCCAGCTGATGGCATCTGCCAAGGGGGATGAACCCTTCTTGTGTCACGGACCTTCCCTCTGGCAGTCTGGGGGAGCCTAAAGGACCCTTCTCACACTCTCAGGTTTTTAAATGCATAAAATGACATTCACGGGACTGCCAAGGAAGCCAATTCCACTGAAATACAAATGTTGAAATATTTTAACAACAACCTCCCAGACCTCGCCTTGTCGAGGCTAGGCAGTGCGGAAGCATGGGGCAGGGAGGCCTCGACGGGCGTCCACGAGGCTGAATTAAGAGGAATGGCCAGGCAGCGTCCGGCTTCGATGTCAGATCTCTGCCCATGACCCCTGCGGCCACCCTCCCCTGGCCAGGCAAGAGGGACACGAGGCTAGCGGGAGCTTCCCTGAGGAGAAGCCCAGGACTTGCCGGGAAGACCCGGATTTCCTGCCTCCAGGCTCAGCCGGGTCAGACGCTTACTCCCTCTCTGTGTCACCGGTGCTATCGAGCTCCCTCCTGACTCGACGAAGCCATCCACGCCAAAGCCTCTCACGGTCTGGAGGCCCTTCCTCCTCATCCCAGCAGCAACAATGCTCGAGGCCGGGCAGCGCCAGGGCTTCCGTTTGCCAGCCCACGCACTCAGAGGGATCCCTGGCCCTTGGCATTCCTCAGAGACCCGAGCCCTGCAGCTCCACCCTCTGAGCATGGTTCCCTCCCCTCCACCCGGCCCTCATTCCTACCTGACCTGCCCTTACCCTCACGGGGACGTTGGGGACCTCAAGCCTTCTCACTTCTCCCAGCTCTCCCCACTCTCACCTCCTGGTTTTGGTTCCTGCCCAAGCCAGGCTATTCCCCAAAGGCCACGGTAACGATGCCCTCACGAGCTCCTTGGAGTGCCTGCCTCCTCAGGCCTCCTGCCCACGGGCTTGACCAAGGCCCGGCCCTGTCCCACCACAGTGCTCTGCTCCTCCTGGGGTCTCCCTCTCCTCCCAGGTCTGGCTGTTCCATGCCTGCCCTCTTCTCTGTGGGGCCAACGCCCACCCTCATGCCCCCAGTCAGCATCTGCCTCTACTGTGTGGAGACCAGCCCTCCTTTCCTCTCCCCCTTCCCCCAGCAGATTCCTCTCCTCCTAAATCATCTCACCCTGCCTTCCGGGCTCCTTGACCCCCCTGGGGCCTTGCTCTTTATGGTTTACTAAGAGACTTCATCATAAAAATGGGGAGGGGGAGGTTGGTAGCACGAACATCCTTACTCCCATTTGGCAGATGAGGAAACCGAGGCTAAGAGTGGTGAACGATTCTGGCCCGGCTCCGCCAGCTATCAAGACGTGGAGGCTGGCTCCGCCTTCACCCCTCCCTCACTGGCCACCGATGGTCCTGTTTGTCGATTCTGTCCTTGCAACATCTTTTGTCTCCAAACCTTTTTCGTCCCTGACGCCCATCACCATCTCAGAAGCCTTCTATGGTTCCCTACCACCTACAGACTAAAGGCCTAACGCCCGAGCCTGGCATTCAAGGCCCTCTGTCATTCGGCTCAACCTCCTTCAAGATCATCTCTCATCACTCCCCATGTTCCAGGCAAATTGGGCAAATCCTCCTCCTTCGCTTTCCCCCGTCCTTGCCTTTGCTACCTTGTGTGGGTGAGATGGAGAAGCATCAGGCCTTGCCTGCTGCGTGACCACGGTACCCTCCGGACCCCCAGGCTCTGCCCCTGGCCCTTCGGGCCTGTCCACCTGCCTGTAAAGCACTCTACAGACCTTCACGTGCCACATGAATGTCAGGCGTCATTGCTCCAAATGTCCCATCTCCCCATGAAGAGGCAGCTGCTGGGGATGGGGCTCCCAACCTGCCAGGAAACAGAAGGCCCTGCCAGTTGCCTTCCTGAAAAGCGGGGGGAGCCCACAGCCCGCTGCCCTGGCGTCCAACCGCATTCAGTTTCCATTCTCCCAGGGCGGCAAGCCTCAGCCCACCCTTCCCACAGCCAGGATGTGCCCCTGGCATCGTCCAGCCTGCCCAGCTCCCGGAGCTGCACATCGAGTCAAACTCTAGCCGCCCGGCCAGGTGCCCCTGAAGCAGCTACGAGGAAGAATAAGAGAAAGTGCTGGGACACCCCAAGTTCAGAGGAGACGGACCCCGAGCGAGGAGCCAGCCTGGAGGTCCTAGCGACGCGGCCCAAGATTGGGATGCGGCTCCGCGCTCAGGGAAAAAGGCCAGGCGCGGGGAGAGGAGGAGAAGGGCGGCGGTGCGTCCTCAGGGGCACGAGGAGAGTCAAGCCACAATCCGAGGGGAAAGCAGGGTGGACAGAGGGTCTGGGGGCAAACGCCAGTGGAGGACAGGAGCGAATTCCGTCAGGTAATCTACCCCAGCCCACCTAGACAGAAAAAACATGAGAAGTTTGGGGAACAGATCCCGAGCCTGGCCAGAGGCACCACAGGGACTTGAGGATCTCTCTCCCCCCTCTCCTCTGCCCTCATTTACTCCCTTTCCCCTCCATCCTCCTCTCTCTCTCTCTCTCCACCTGATACTCTCATCAATGACTTGGATAAATGAATTCAGAGGTTCCCAGGGCTAGTGCTGGGTCGTACCCAACCAGCAGACGGCCGCAGAGGGAGGGCTAGCTGACAGGGCAGAGGCAGGCCTTCACGGGCTGCAGCGCTGGGCTCAATGGAGCGCAATGACATTCAACTGGGGTAAAAGCAAAGCCTCAGACTTGGATTCAAGAACTCCACTTCCTAAGTACGTGACAGCGGAGATATGGCGAGGGAGCCACTTATGTGAGAAAGATTTAGAGGGTCTAAGTGGACCGCACAGTGCTCCTCGGGAGCATCACCCGGCTCGCAGGAAGAGGAGGAGACAGAGGACAGGAGGAGGACTGGACTCAGTGCCAGGCGCCCCATTTTAGGAAGGCCACTGGCAAGCCGAGAGCATCGCTGTCATGCGATGAGTGAAAAGACAAGGCTCAGGGAAGCCTAGTTTTGAAGAGGCAGCCAGGTGGGGGAGGTGAGGCTGCCAAGCGCGGGGGCAGCGAGGGCTGCGCACACACGAGTCAGCCCTTCTCGGGGACGTGACGGGCCGGCTGGGCGCGGGGGGCCGGGCTCGTCCTGCCTCCTGGCCTCAGCAGGCAGCACAAGGAGGCCGCGGGGGCCTCAGGGGCCCCTGCTGCTCTGGATCTAGGAGCCCGTGAATTCACTCATTCGTTCACAGACGTGGCAGGTGATGATGGCGCGCAGAAAGCAGCGAAGTCTTAGCAGAGTGACTAAGTGAGGCAGGGGGCAGTCGGGAGCTCCGCCAAGCAAGGAGAGTTGGACCAAGGTGGAACGGCCCATTCCCCAACCGGGAAACGGGCAAAGGATGTGAAAAGAGGACAGATGAAAAAAATTCTCCAAATCCCTAAGAATTAGAGAAATACATATTAAAACACTTAGGTGGCTCCGTCTTGCCCTCACCAGACTGGCAGACAGCAGTCACTAGACTGCGTCCCCATGAGGACCCGAAGAGATCCGAGACAGAGGAGGAGGAGCCAGCCACACAAGTCTGCGGAAAGCGCCCTGTGTGGTTGTGAAGAACTGGGAAGCCAGGGGTGCCCAGCAGCGGGGAGCAGCAGAGCCCTGTGGTGCCATGAGAAATGACGGAAAGGGATGATTTCAAAGAAACCTGGGAAGGTTTCTTATGAACTGACACAGAGTGAATTGAGCAGAACTGAGCAACGTCAGCAATGACCCTGGAATGACAAACAACTTTGAAACACCAAAGAACCCCGATCCCTGGGATGCCCCACTGCCACCACCCCAAGAGGCAATCAGCAAGGCACAAAATGAGACCTACATTTTTTTTTTTTGCATGATTACACGTATTTCTTACAAGGGCCTTTTCTTTCCCAACGGGGATGAGGGGGAAGGAAGAAGAGTGTGTAGGGAAAGGGTTCCCAGACTAGAAAAAGGAACAGAAAGGGGGCCAGAAGGCATCCTAGACCAGCAGGACAGCTCTGAAAGAGATGTGAACTTACTACATACTGAAAAAGAAGAGCAAGCCAGCATAATGGAGAGCACGGCTTCATCCTCTCTATTTCTACAATTTTCACGTAAATACTCATTTTATTTGGTGTTTGTTAAGTTCAGAATAAAAGAGAGAACATTACTCAGTGTAAAAGAAAACTCATTTTTTAAAAAATTTCAGCATCAAAGAAGTGAAATGTTCTGCGTGGGTTCTCTGTGGCTGGAGGGAGGCCTTCACACAGAGCTCACCGCCCCCATGACCGGCATGTTCTAGAGGGAATCTCTCAGTGCTCTGATTCTATTTACACTGGCAGCAAGTGACATCTGCCCGATTATTCTTGGCCAAGCAACAATGTCACAACTGATGTGTGCACAGCCTCAAAGCTAGAAAGGGGCTCAAAGGGCGACCCCTTCCAAAGTCCCCAGTAGCCTCTGGGGAAAGGCCCAAAGGAAGAGGAAACCCAGCCCCTGCCAGCCTCCCATGTGCCCTGAGGGACAGCCTTCCTCGTCTGGAAGCCCCAGTCAGCCACTTGGCCGCCCTCCCCTCCCGGGGTTTCCTGTGGTCTCTTTGTCCCTAGTGCTCAGGCCAGAATCTGGAACTGTCATCATTACTGGCAGAGTTCATGAATGAATCCACCCTGAGGCCCCTCCCCTTTTCAACACGTTTTACAGATGCCCAGGGGAGTTGGATGGCTAAGCCAGGGCTCCTGGCTCTGGCAAGGACAAGTCTGGTCCCCTGGCACAGGCCGGCCCTTCCGATAGCTGAGATGACTCTCTTGGACATCCCAAATCTTCCACTCAACGGGCCCTTCTTCACCCACTCAGTCATCCACAGTCTAAGCAGAAGGGACTACAGTGATTTATTTGTCTGCACAGGGGTCCGGCCTGGAACAGGAGGGGGAAGGATGACATGACTCTGAGAACCCACATCTCTGGGAGCACGTTCCTGCCACACCCAGCCGGGAGCCCCAGTTTCCCCATCTATTAAATGGAGCTGCTACTCCTGGCAGGAACCTGCCCCACTGGGTGGTGATAGATAAATGAATGTTTTTCCTCCTCCCTTGCTCTGTCCCAATCCACCTGCCCTCCTTGTCTCTCTACTCTACCGTCCAGGCACACCGCTGTCCCCGCAGCTCTCCTCAGCCCCTCAGTCCTTCTTCCTTCTGGGCAGGGTGAGCACAGACGCCCGAGGGACAGACAGTGGCTCTCATTAGAGAGGGCAGCTCGAGTCTGAAAGCCCTCCTACAAAGGGAGGCATTACATCTGGGTCGGCCCGTAAGCCGTCCCTGGCCAACGTTCATGTTTAAGACTCCTGTTCTGCGACCACCAGATCCCTGGTTCACAGCAGCATGAAAACATGACCTGGCCCTCGTGAGCAGGAGCAGAGAGCGCCACCGGCCCAGGGGAGGAGGAAGCAGCTGAGCAGATGGATGAGAGGGGCCCTGGCGGGACACGCAGAGCCAGTGTGACGAGCCTCGCCGCAGCCAGGAGAGAGACTGGCTACCGGGAGCGCTGGCGCTGCGTTCCCCTTTGATCACCGAGGAACCGCACTGACTGTCCAGGCACACAGCTAGCTAGCCACAGCAACAAATTCGAACCCAGGGCCACCCTGCCTCTAGAACCCAGGAGCCTCACACTCACCGACCCACTCCAGTTGTCCAAAGTGGGGCAGGGCCCTGGGGCTTGAGCCCTCCCTCCCACCTTGTGTGGGAGGGCCCCCCCGGGAAGGGCTATGATCATACTAACTCTTCACAGATTTTAATCTGGCTACAGATGGTGGGACTGGAGAAGGAAGAGATGAGGGGACTGACTTGCTGTTCTTTACACATGACATTCTATTTCCCACCTCCAAGCCTTTGCCTAGACTGTTCCCCTACCTGGAATGCCCCTCTTTCCTCACTTCTAACTCTCAGAATCCAGTTTCCTTCAAAGCTCCACTCAGTCACCTCCTAGAAGAGGGCCTTTCCCCCACCCCAAACTCCCCCGTACTTACTTTATGTTTGTCTATATCATCACCCTTATCTCCCCAGCACCCCGCCCACTGCCAGGCATAAGGAGACACTAATGAAATGGTTACTGGGTGGCTGGGAAGTGGGTGGCATGGCCTGAAGGCCAGGTCTTTTTGGGTCCACCTGGGGCAGCTGGATTTCCCTCTCATTCTCCAGGCCCCAAGGCCCTATGCTGACCCTCTTCCTTTTTTTGGGGGCAAGGCAATCAGGGTTAAGTGACTTGCCCAGGGTCACACAACTAGTAAGTATCTTGTGTCTGAGGCCAGATTTGAACTCAGGTCCTCCCGACTCCAGGGCTGGTGCTCCATACACTGCGTCACCTAGCTGCACTCCCCTTTTTATCCACCTTTGACCAGAGGACGCTGGACTAGCTTGGGCATAGCTCCTGTCCTGGAAGGGTGTGACGAGTCACCTTCCAGCTCCCAGGCCTGAGATGCACTGGGTCAGCCTAGGGGAGATGACCAAGTTCTAGGGGGTCTAAGGCCAGTCTTTCACTCTTCAGGCTCCGTCAGTCAGCAAGCATTTACGAAGGGTTCATGGGCCAGAGCCCAGCTAAAAACAGCAGGATACTGCTATACCCGCTCTGTGCAGCGTGAATGGGCAGCACCCTCCTGAGGAAGGGGACCAGGAAGGCTTCTGCAGAAGGCGCAATGGATAACGACGAGTGGTCCTGAGAGAAGCCGAGGGGGGGGGGACAGCCAGGAAAAGGCCTGGAGCCGGGAGACGGCTTGTCACAAGGAGAACCCCAACCCCAGCAGAAAGTGAGTCACTTCTTATCAGTGGTACTAATAGCACTCCTCTAGCAAGGTCCAGGGCAGACAAGACGACAAGGACGTACTAATGAGTATTTTGCCACCATATGGTGCTTCTGGATCTAAGGGACTAATTAGCTGTACGATGCTGGATTGGTAGAAGTCATCGAGAAGCCACACGAAAGAGGGCCGACCACGGTGGTCCTGAGGACCGGGCCTTCACTGGCCACGCTGAGAGACATCGTGGCGCCAGAGTCCCTGAAACTGAGCGGTGACGAACCAAGGGGCCCCAGTCGCTGGCTCCGACGGGCTGGCAGAGGTCACCAGTGGGCTCATCCTCCCTGCCCGTGAGGCCAGCGCCCACCCGTGGGGTGGCCCTTCCTTCACGACACTCTCGTCCTCTTGTTTCCACGCCACTGTGCTATGTGGGGTCTAATCCCCTCTCTCTGACCCATCCCGGGTCCTGGCTGGGGTCTCCCCGCTGCGCCCCAAGGATCGGTCCCCAAGTGCATCCCTCTTAACGTTTTCTCTAATCACAAGGCACCCACTGTCACTCCTCCATCTCTATCTCCAGCCCAGACCACTTCCCTGGGCTCCAAGTCCCTCCCATTCAGTCCCTGACACACAGTAGGCCCCCACAAATGCTGGATGAACAGGGTACAAAGACTGCACAGGATTTTGCGAGGCAGAAACGCAAGGTTAGGGAGAACGTGCCAGACCAAGAAATGGCCTGCAGCAGCCCAGGAAGGAGGGGTCCTCGGCAGGCCCGGGAGATCCTCGGCAGGCCCGGGAAGTCCTCTGGCTCCTAGAGAGCGCCACCATGAACACAGTTCTGTCCACTGCACGTGGCCCAGACTGGAGGGAAGGAAGCATCAGTAAGGATGCAGCTGAGAAGCTCTCGTGATCCAGCCGGCTGCAGCCAGTCAGGGACCTTCGGAGAGCGAAGAGGCCCCAACGCCAGGCACGGAACGAGGCCCCCTCCACCACAGACCTATTCAGCATGACGATTCACTTGTTTGTTAGGAGGGAAGATTCTGGGGGGGGTTGTACTGGAAAGAGTCACTGGCACCTGGCCGGGATGGAGAGAGGGAACCAGCGAGGCATTTCAGAAGGAGGGCGGCAGAACCGAGGGCTGGGCCGAGGAGCTTCTCCCCTCTCGGCTTCCTCTGGCATCATCTGCAGCGCTTCTCACCGGAGGGAATCACAGCCCCGCCACGCTTCGCTTACTACGTCCCAAGCTCCATCCCAGCGGGGACCGAGTCTGTCACATCTGAGGGACGCGACCCCCCACCCAAAGAGGCAGCCGCTCAAAGACTAGGTGGATGAATGTGGGACCTTACAATGTCCTCGCTTTCTGGCCCTCTCTGTGCAAAACAAGGCCAGAAACGAAGCTGCTCCTTTAACAAGTCTCCCCCCACTTTCCGTCAAAGGCAGGACGGCGGCAGATGGCAGGGCTGGGCCTGTTTATGGTGACTGGAAAGATGTCCTGCCTATCCTAGCCAGGGAAGAGAGCTACGATGCTGAGGAGGGGGAGGGCCTCATTTCTGCTGGAGGGCAACAGGGCCTTGAGCCTGCACTGGAACTTCTGGGCCTGTGGGCTCCCATCCCCCAAAGCACCAGGGGCTACTTTTAAGGAAAGCCACACGTTGAGGGGTAACAGGTGAAAAGAGAGTAGTCCTGTCTGCCCTGATACCCACCCAATGGGCTCTAACAAAACTCTGGAATGAGACACCAATGCTCACTCACAGGCCAGCAGAGGACAGGGGCCTTCCCAGGAATGTGGGAATCGGGGCCCAGGTTAGGGCTGACAAGAATCCGATTCAGCCAGCAGGGGCTGGGAAATGGCCCGGCCCATTATTTTCCTTGTCCGGGGTCACAGGCAGAGTCAAACCCTGTTGTTCTCTGATGATCCAGACTTAAAAGGGAGCTGCAGTCAGGGGTTTGGCATCCCTCCCTCCCTGACCTCTCAGGTGGGATGCCGCCCCATGGCACTGCTGGAGCCACACTGGTAAGAGGGAAGGTGACGACTCGCTATTTCTTTGTCTTCTTGATGGGAAAGGAAATGTAGGCAGGGCTGAAAACCGTGCCTTTCTCAGCAACAACACTAGTGAGCCCAGGTGGGGAGGACAGAGGACCCCTCCCCACCTTTCCAGGCTCCAGCCCAACTAATGCACAGGACCCTGGGACAGAATCAGCGAGGCTCAGAGAGCAACGTGCCTAGAGCTCTTCAGAAAGCGAAAATGAGGAGGGGCACACGGAGTTTTTTAGTTGAAAGGAGATCACCAGTAAAATCCTACTTGGAGCTCCTGTTTGGAGTTGCTGCAACCCCAGGGGAGCCCAAGCTTGTGATGCCCAACCTGGCCACAGGCCATCCCTACGACTGGGGGCCAGGTCTATCCTCCAAGGGTCCCAAGAGGCTCAACACCAGGCTGGGGGTGGGGGTGGAGGGGGATTTTCTGCCAGAGTAACTCACGACAGTCTACTAAAGCAGGAAGGGGTCACAATCTGCTGCAGCGAAGGGAGCACCCCCGCCCTCCGGGCTAATGAAACCATGGATCCTGGAAGTCTTGTAATGCTCACCTGATCCCTGCCCAATGACATATATGGTCTCTCCGCATCCCTCGTCCATCCTCTCCCACATCTGCCGGAGGAGGCTGTCATACTGCTCTGATGTTGGGCTTACTAGCACCAGCTAGAGGAGAAACCAAAGAGCTTAGGACTCCTGGGCACTGAGCAGCGGCCCAGCCGAGGCTGGCGCTAACACAACCCAAGGCCTTCCTCCTGCTTCCTCCCACGCCCCTCGTCCTCTGCCCCGTGGGCCAGCCCGGCTCTGCCCTTCCTCATGGGCCCACCAGGGTCGCCCTCCCTTTCCTGCTCACAGCCCCGGAGCACAGCCCAGCACTGGCCCCCAGGAGGCACCTCCAGAAGGCTGGGTCCTTTCTTCATTCACTCCCTGGGCAGTCCTAGCAGGGAGAGAACTGGGCCTCCCTCCATGATGGTGTAAAAGACCTTCTCTCTCCCTACATCCTCAAGGGCTCCCTGAAAACCTGAGGCATGGCCTGCTCCTCCACCCAAGCCCAAGTGCCCCAGGCAATAAAAACACAGCCCAGCCTTGGGCCACCCTCTGGGAACAGGTGAGCCCCTCGGGCTGCGGAGAACCTCTGTCTACCCACTTTAGGCTAACTTCTGAAGCCTACACTGCTGGAGGCATGCTCTGGCCAGCTCCAGTGACTGGAGCGCCTCCAAGTGTGGACCTCCGAAGTGGGTCACTAAGGGGCCCTGGCTGCCTTCAGAGAAGGTCCCGTGAAGGGACTAGTTCAGTTTTCTCAGGTGGAATGGACAGCCAACTGTCAGATGGGGTTGTGTTTGTTTACAAATCAATCATCCACGTGGGGCTAGGTTGTTTTCAAGAGTTTCTCAGCATAATCTCACACGAGGACACCTCTGTCAGCCCTTTGGGATCCCAAGTCACCCTTCCCCGAGCCGGTCTGTGTGCAGAGATGCCCGGCTGTCACTCAGAAAGCTCTGATGGCCTTCCCAGGGGCTCCAACTGCCCTCACACATGGTCTGTGACAAGGCCTCCACCTTACAGCCAACTAGGGAACGGGGCTGGGGCAAGACCTGCCTGGGGGAGGTGTCAGGGACAATGGGGGCCCTTCTTATTAGGGCTGTCCCTCTGCTCTCCGTGGCCTCCTACGTGTTACTTCTGCGTTGCCACCTTATAGTTCAAGGCTCACGCCCCCCAATTACATACACACAAGGGGGGGAGGCACACACAGGACACAAAAGTCGAGCCTTGGGTGGGCCGCACAGGTGGTGTGACCCTGGAACTTGAGAGATGGAGGAGGTAAGAAAGCTAACTCGAGTTCCCCAGGACCAGTGTGGCCATCCCTTCTTTTGTTTTGTTTTGTTTTTGGCTAGGCAGTGGGGTTTAAGTGACTTGCCCAGGGTCACATAGCTAGTAAGTGTTATGTGTCTGAGGCCAGATTTGAACTGGGGTCCTCCTGAATCCAGGGCCGGTGCTCTAGCCATCCCTTCTTCAGACCCTCTCCTGCCACCTGCCTTCCTGGGCAATGGTGCTCACTAGCGCTCTCTCTCTCCTGGCCCCTAAAACGACTCAGTGCTCTATAAATGTGCTTCAAGATCGAGCCCACACATTCTGTGTGACATTGGCCAGAGCCACGACTGCGGCTCCCACAGGGGAAGGGATTTGTCCAAGGTTAGGCGGCTCCTAAACCTCAGTGCTTGGATTTGAACCCAGGTCCTCTGACTGGAGTCCTGGAGGAGGGGACACTCTTTCTGAATGAGAAACCGGCTCGCACTGCTGCAAGCACGGCTTCTGGCCAAGACTCCAAAGTCTCAGATCTGGGAACACCGGCCGAGGCAACAACGGTGCCCCAGCAGAGAAAGAGGAGATGGTGGAAAGCAGGGCCTCCGCCTCCTGCTCACCAGGCAGCCCTCAGCCGTCCTGGGAGGAGGGAGAAGTGCTGGCGCCCTGCAGTGGGAGTGCATCTCCTCCCTCTGCTAGCTAGATGGTGGGCTGGTGTAAGTAGCATGAGGGCTGGCTGTGGGAGCACAAGTGGGCCTGGGAGAAAGACCACTGGATGAAGAATCAGGACCCTTGGCTAGGTGCCAGGCCTGCTTCCTGAAGAAGGTGAAGCCAGCTCCCAGCTGCCTGCCAGGGCTGTGCCAGTGCCCACAGACACAAGGTAGGCAGGGCTTCATCGCCTCGGAAGCACACACTGCAGAAGGCAGGTGTGGGTTTTCCTGCCCTCAGATCATCAATAAATATTTAAGGAGCTCCCCCTGCCCCATGATCCTTAAGAGAACCTGACTTCCAACTGCTGGGCCGTGAAAATCGCCCCCCGAGGGGCATCAGGACACCTCTGCCACCACCCTGAGTGACTTCCCCAGAACCTAGTCTCGTCTGCAGAGTGACATGGGTGGGCTCGACACCCAAGGGCTCCCTCGGCCCTTGTCTCCAAGCGCCCCGAGAATCACACCGTCTGCCACCGCTGCCCTGACATCTACAGGGCATCAACTAACCCCACCATCACCCACTTCAGGAGTCTGCTCCAATCCCCCCCTTCCCGAGGCCGGGGTCAGGTACTCCATCGGCTGTAACCAAAGCTGCAAAGCCAGCCGGTCATGCTGGGCTGGGGGCAGCAGGAGAGACCTCCCCAGATCTGAATCTGGAAGCTCCCGGTCAGCAAGGTCCCCAGGCTCTGTGAAAAATGGGGATCACAACCCCTGTCCTGCCTGCACTACCTGCCAGACAGGGCCGGCAGGACCCAGAGGTGGGGAGCAAGCTCAGACATGTGAATCACCATCATTAGCTGGGGGCCTGGCCCAGTGCACTCAACACTCCCTCTGGGACCCCAGGGCTCAGGCAAAGCACCCTTCTCTGTGGGCCTCAACTTCCTCCTCTATAAAAAGGGGCTGGGCCAGTCCAAGGCTCCTTCCAGCTCTCCTCTGGGTCACCCTCCCCCCAC